CAGCAGGAACACGCTAGCACATGAATGGTGTCAATTTTTAGCTTGAAATAGGGGGTAGGTGGACAATTACGAGCATTGAATTGTTGTAAAACTTGATGTAAATCTGTTGTCCTAAGTTTCCATTCCATTTGTTGCTTCATTTAATATTTTTTATTTTACAAATTTTGTCTTGGCATGGAAGCATTTGTAGCCTGATGCCACGTTATATGGACTCAGATTTCAACTAGATGTTTGCATCGGCTTCTTTGTATAGTAACAGTATTACCAAGTTTTACATCATTAATGAGGCAACTTCTCTCCAATCAATGCCTTTTTGCATACAATAGGTGAAACAAATTGGTTAAGCACCGATTAACCACAAAAGTTGGTTTGACATTTTTAATTTAGAATCTGCTATGCACAGTCGGAATTGATAGCTGTGATCAATACACAAACGGTAATATACTCAAATAGGCTCAATTGCCCTCGATCTGATATTTATATAAAAATTTCTTTTATGAGAAAATACAGGATGTATGGATGAAGAATTTCTTGCAAATGGATTTAAAATTGTACTTTTATATATCTACCAAATTATTTGTTTGGATATTAAATACAATCTTTTTCTAAATGATTGAAATTTTATAGGTGATACGAAGGGATTTAGATAGCATTTTGCATTTACAATGCAAGAATTTAAAATTCATTTTTTTCATGGTTTTATTTTTTTGTGTGATTTTTCTTTTTGGTGAATGTACAAAGATTATTTCATAAATTAAAATGAGGGGATTTCCATTTTTTTTTTAATTTTCTTACTTTCAAGCCTTAGCGCATACTAGATACATAATCCCCTAATAGCGACTTCAATGATTAATTTCTTGAGGTAGTATAAAAAAATATTTAATACATGCCCTTTCATTTTAGTACACATTATATTTATATTGCACACTTTTTTTTCTCTATCTCCCTTATATCTAGCATCTACTGTGCGCTTTTCTCTTTTGCATCTTTTTCCACCCTCTCTTTACACTTATCTTTTTTCCTCATCTATCTTCCTCTTCCTCCCCTTCACTCATATTATAATATTTTTTTATAATTATTTATTATTTACGAAAATAATATAATCGATCATTAAATTTGTCAATTTTCTAATTTTCAAACTATCTTTTAAATTCTTATTATTTAAAAAAAGAAACAGCCTTTTTTTTAGTTTTGGTAAAAAATTTATATAGAAATATTAAAAAAATGTAATTTTGCAAAGCGAGGAAAATAAATTATTTTATGCAAATAGAGAATATGAAATATATGAAATTTGAATTCGTCAGCCAAATAAAATAATTTTAAAATAAAAGAATTTACTTAATATAATTAAATCTCTCTATAAAATTCAAATTCTTTATCTGAATATCACCTTGATGGGTTTTCTGTTTCCCATCATATGATTACTTTAATAAGCTGTTTAGGTGCAGGAGTAAGTAGAAAGTTGGAGTATGGAATTCTACTTGGTTTCGACTTTCAAACGGGAACTGTCAAAAGTATTTAGAATTTGATGTTAAAAAAAATATAATTTTTAACTTCAGTTTGACTTGTGATTTCAGAAGAAAGTGTACCGTTAAAACAAAACATTTGGTTGTTTTTTAATTGACTTGATTTTATGTAATTTCAATTCAATGTAAATTTGCATTTTGCAATTAATTAGTCTATATTGAGATATTTTATTTTGGTTATAGATGTTCCAAACATAATATTAAAACAACCATTTTCCACTGAAACTTAAATAATCATGGTTGAGACACATATTATATGTAAGTTTGAGGATGAAGCTCAGTTTGCATTATCTACTTTACGGTTTAAGGCAAAGGATATAATCCAAACATTATATGTCATATATTTTATTTATTAATGGTCAATGAAAGTACAATCACAAAACATTGGAAATAGGGATAAACAAGTTAAAATTACTACATATTTGGAGTGAAAATGTTGAGATAAGATGTACAAGTGTTCAATATCCTCACATTTTTATTTGACAATCGAAAACAACCTTGCAATATAATGCACTGAAATTGAAAATTGATGCAAAATTTATGTGGTTTCCTAATATTATGCAATAGCAAATCATCATTTCTAGCGTTTTCCCAACCCAAATGGGAAAAAACTAAAAGATGCAAGTGATTCAAAAGGGTAAGGAGTTGGGACAGGGAATTTCCGCTAGCCGTTAGCATTGACTTTTTGACAATCTTATCCAAGTCACAGAAATTCATTGCATTGTCGTCATCCTCGAGAATGTAATCAATTTATATCATAATCAAATCTTTGTGGAGAAAGGGCCCACAAAATATAATAAATAAAAATATATGATGGTTTGGTGGTGCGGGTAATTGAAAATTTCTATTTCTTATACTTTTTTCGTTTTTTTTATAGTCATTTTGTCAAAATTTATTATTTTTTTATTGTTATTTTATCAAAATCAATGACTTATTAATTTTTATTTCTAATTTTACCTTTGATAATTAACATGTATTTATTGAATAATGTGTGTATTTATTTTTAATGTTTATTTATTTTTTCTTTAACTACTCATATAAAGTTAATGTACATTTATAAGAGCAATATGTTCCCAACAAAATATTATAAAAAAATAAAAAAGGAACAATTATTTACAAGACTCTTTAACTATAACCATTAATTCATGGACAGGTATAATTAAATACAGTAAGTTACAGTTCACGTGTAATCAATGCATTAATAATTAATGAAGTAGATTGCAGTTCAACAGTCTCAAAAATGCAAAAAAAAATAAAGAGTAAAATAGGAAAGTAAGTAATAAATATTTTTGAAAACTAAAATATCAATGATTTTCTTAAGTCCCGTGCAAAACCTTAAACGACTATGAAAAAAATGGAAGGAGTATTATTATGCTTTGTTCGTAACAATAAAAGATATGAGAATATCTCATAATTAATTTGGTAGAAAAATATTTAGGAAATAGAATGTAATAAAATAAAATTTATAACTATTTGATAAAATGAAATTAAGTAAAAAATAAAGTAAATTTGATATTTTAAAATTGATATATATAATGTTTTATAAATAATTTAACTTAAAAATTATAATTAAAAATCATTTTTAATATTATTATATTTATTTATTATTATTTAAAATAAATATAATTTTTATAATTAATTTTATTTAAAAGTATCAAATAAAAATATTATTATTATAAGAAAATCAAGAAAACCCTATATGCCTCATGTCTCTCATATCCCTCCCTTTGATTGAGAGGAAAAGTTTTTATAAGTAACTCTCACTATTATTTCATCACAATTTCTCACAAATCATCTGCACCAAATAATATAAAATTTTAATTTTCTTACAGTTATCTTCTTTTCATCCCTTTACCAAACACATTGTTAATATTTGTCCCTTTTATTTTATATCCTAAAACAGATAATATTTTAAAAATTTTAAGTTTAATTAATATTTTTTCCTAATTACACTTTTATGTATATCGTATTAGTGGTGCAGGCATCAAAATATTAACCAAAGACATTATTTTAGTTTAAATATAATAATATTTCAAATTTATTAAATATTTTAAATTTATATACATTAACTTTAAAGATTTGTTGGCTTTTAACTTAGCACTTTTGAAAAAATGGCTTTGGAGAATGTTAGTGGAGAAAAATAGTTTTTTGGTAAGAGTTATTAATTCATTATACGGTGTTGCACTATATTTGTCAAATGGGGGTGGTGTAAAAGGTTCAAGGTGGTGGATAGATTTAAATAGAATTGAAGATGGGGATTTGGTGAGTAATGAGTGGTTGTCTAGTAATTGTTGTAAAGTCATTGGAAATAGGCTAGACACAAAATTTTGGTTGCATAAATGGATGGGTCATGGAATTCTAGTCGATTATATCAAATAGCAGTTAATAAAAATGCTTCTATTGCTGAAATGTATGTACGGGAGGGGGGTGTGGCCGAATGGAAGTGCAGTTGGAGAAGAAGATTATTGGTTTGGGAGCAGCAACTTCTGAATACTCTTGTTAATGTTATCAATGGTACGAAATTCATTGTTTAGGATAAAGATAAATGGTCCTGAATTGTTGTACTAGAAGGGGTGTATACAGTTTAGCTTGGCATATAAGGGCTTGAGGAATGACAAAATATTTGCATCTAATGTCATATTTCGATGGGTATGGACTAGTATTGCTCCAACAAAAGTTTTAGCTTTCGCTTGGAGGGTTATTTTGAACATAATTCCAACTAAATATAATCTGTTTAGAAGAGGTGTTCTACAAGTATCACAGTTGGAATGTGGTTGGTGTAGGGATAAGGGAGAAACTACTTTTCACCTGTTCTTTAAGTGTGAGGTTTCTTTTCAACTTTGGATGACGTGCTTTAATTGGTTAGAATTAAATTATGTTATGCATAATTATTGTGTGCAAAATTTGGAATAGTTTTATGGGTTTCATTATTTTTCTGCAAAGTACCATAACTGTTGGATTCTTATCTAGTTATTTGTTATTTGGACAATTTGGCTTCTAGAAATGATCTCATATTCAGCTCTAAAATAATTCTTGTTTCTGAAATGTTAAATCTGGTGCAATTACATTTATGGAGATGGTTAAGGGCCATATTTTCCTCTTTCAATTATGATTTCTTTTCTTGATCCAATTCTCCTGGTGTTTGTTTATCTTAATATTGCACATTGGCTGTTAGCTTTCTGTCTCGTTGGTTTAGTGTTACTCGTTTGTGAGGATTATTTTTTATCATCCCATTCTGTTGGTACTATAGTATCTGAGATATGGGAAGTTTGTTGGGTATAGGCTAATTAAGCCACCTATTTTGGGGGTTTTTAGTTTTTTGTTGACGTGGAATGTATTAACTTTATTTTTTTAAAATACTTTGTGTATATGGATTAGAATACCTCTTTTACTCTTATTAATTATATTTTACTTATAAAAAAACTTTAAATATCAATAATTATAAAGAAAAATATTTAAAAATCCATGGTTATCAAAAGGAAACTTTATAATTACCGAGGGCCTCGTTAGTGCATGAGTGTTACAAATTTTTCTAATGTAAACTTCGATTTTTACGGAATAAAATCTCCAATAATAATCTAATGTTATAATTGATTTTTCTTGTATTTTATATATTTTCATGAGTTGTGTTGAGATGAGATAAATAATACTGGTAATTAACTTTGATCTTACATGAAATCTTACCTTACCTTAATATAATTTTTTTGTTACAAAAAAAAATCTAGTGATCAAATAGTATATGTAATTACACACAATTTTAAATTTAAATATTATTCTTATAATTGGTTGTACACCCAAAAAAAATTAATTACTCTTTTAGTCTTTATAATTTTATATTTTAATTTTTATAGTTAAAAATGTCCTATTTTAATCATATACATATCTTTGAGTTATTTTAGTTCTTATTTATTACTTCAAAGACTAAAATGTAAAATTTATAAGATTATAAATACTAAAAAAATAATTAGTATGAATGACAACTAAAGTAAATTATTTTTAATTATATGAATTAAAAAAATTATAAAGATAAAAAAGTAATTAAATTTAAATTTAAAAAAAAAAGTTATGAGAAGTGGCAGAAGTATTTATATAGGTGGCATCAGCTACTCTATAGTCTATTGGTTTCACTTATTTGGCAACGCCAATTGAAAGTTGATAGTGTTATCAATCAACGTCAAGAATCAGATTAGGTTTTTTTTATATTTTTTTTTATTGTTGTTTAGAATGAGATTAGCTTTGAGTCATTGCAAATAAATATGATGTCATAACTGAAGTGGGTCTATAAATGCAGTTCCTTGAACCTGAAAGCCCAACTAATCCTACAAAAGTAGCAAATCCTCAATCCACTCTGGCATTCTATAATATACTTTGGATATATTTTTATCTTGATTTCAACTCTAAAGAAAATATCAGTAACCAACACTTTCACATCACATCATTGCACTCTCATAATACTCCCACTACTTGTATCGATCATAAGAATGGAATGCTACACATTACATTTATGTGACTCCCACTAAGCATCTCTTTCATCTGTTTACTGAGAGAAATGCTAATAATACATAATGGATGGTCTTGGAAGAGCAAGTCCATCATCATAGGCTGTTCTTGGAAAAGCAACAACAAAAACAGTAAATTAAAGTGATAAAAGGCTATTTGAGAGCGATCTATCACCAGCATGTATTGCATCCATTGATAGTGGAAGCATCTATTGCTCTTCATATATAATGGATGCCACAACAATCAACAATTATTATTTAACTCTCTTTCCTTTATTTTATTTTATTTTCACTGCAATTGAAAAATAAAAGTAAATAATAAAATATAGAAATACGAGGTCAGTTGTGAGGGTCATTTAAAAAATTTAGATTATAGGATTAGAGTAAAAAAAATTGAGTTTTTTTAAATTAGTAAAAATGATGTAATGTTGTAGAGGAGTGTGAAATTTTATATGAACAATTTTCTAACAACTTGATGTAACAAATTGTGAGGCTCATTTATATGAACAATTACTATTCAAAAACCAACATAAAAAACAACTTTAGAAGTGATACCTTATCTCATTTTTGTTATATCTCACTTTTAACTTATTGGTAGGTCCCGCACTTTCTTTTAAAACTCATAACCAACTGTTTTGATTGTATCCAATAGCAACACAAATTTATAGTGCGTGTTTGGCAAACTACGACAAGTAATTCCTCTGATGTGGTACATGTAAAGAAAAATCTGTGTTTGCAGTTTAGACATACATTTTAACTGCTTCCAACAATTCAAAATTAATTTTATCAAAATCAATCCTACCAGACACTAAAACAAGCATTAAAGGTTGTGGGGGCCCATTAAAAAAGATTTTAAAATTATTGGGTTGAAATAAAAAAGTTGGTTGGGTTATTTTAAATGGTTAAAACAATACGTGACGTTATGTAGTAGAAGTGTGGATAACAATGATAGAAAACCAATTTTAACATCTCATGAGTTGCTCGTATCTACACGTGCACTCTAATAAGTACTTCGCGTATTATACGGATATTTTTAAATAAAATTTTAAGACATTATAAATATTTTTAGTAAATTACAAGAAAAATACACATGAATATTTCAAATAAGCAAATGTAAATATTTAAGATTTAGGGAGGAACAGTGGAATTTAGGGTAACACAAATCATAAGAAAATTATTCAAAAACATTATCAACCTTTTACTAATAATATTACATAAAATGAAAATGATTGATTTCCACTTGGTTGACAAGCCTGCATCTCAATTGGCACTAGCCAAGATTTTAAAACTGTCTGAAGATTGATGCCAGGGATCCGATTTTCTACTTGGGTGCTTGTCAACGAGAAATGTTTGGCTAATTAATAATGTGCATAATTATAACTATAATAATAGAAAATTTGTTAGGCAAAACGTCGCCCAAGGTTAGTTACAACTTACAACAAAATACTTGCATAGTGACAACATTAAATTAGTCAAAGGCTAGTTACAACAAAATACTTTCAATAACAATAACTTCGCCAAAGGCTTCATAAACGGATTGCTAAAAAATGAAATAAATAGATTACAAAGTTTGAGCTTAGTTGGGGAGGTAGGTGACTAAGGCTTGAAGTGAATTTCTTGCTACAGAACTATTGAGATAAATATCATATTACAACCCTCAATAAAATTTAGGCGCCAGAAAAAGGTTTGCAAGGCAGTAAACTAAACATTAAAATAACTAAACTAGTGTACATTGACCAGCCATATTTGCCATATTTAGTTTCTGACTGACCAAAAGTTTGTCTGTAACTAAAATGTTGAATTGGCACATTATGCAGCCCAGAACATGACACCCTGGAAGCATTGGGATTCATGTGCTATAATCGAATATATATGAACCAGATGGAAAATTGACTGAGGCTGCAAGTGGAGTAAGTGGGTAATCAAAGAAAAACAATTGTTGTGGTGGAGATGGTATTAGCTGCTGCATATCTTAGTCCCACTGAGAATGTAGCCTCCAAATGCACTCATTTGCATGCATGGGTGAGTTCTAGATGGAAGTACCTGCATATATATATGAATAAATTGTTAAAGGGGATCTGTACATTAAATACTTCTTTAAGGAGATTGGTAGGTAATTCGAACTAGAGTATAAATAATGGACTCATGGACCGAGTGTAGTGACAAACAGGACAACCCTATGTTGTGACAGAAATCGCAGAAGAAAAATTATGAGGAAGAAAATGATGGGGAATTCTGTCACCCTGCACCTTCCCAAAGAAACCAATCTCCTTAGAAGTTAGTATTATTGTAACCATAAACTTGTGAAATAAACGAATTGGTCAGAAAATTCTTAAGCTTAAAGTAAACAGGATAAAATTTATTTTTATTTTTGCTTTTTACTTATGCAATCATAGGACTTCCTAAAACTTCTCTAATTTCGTAACATTGATATTTGAATAATATAAATAACTTATACCTGGTATTCACGCAGCCAAGGCTCTGATATTTGCAATCCAATGGCCATTTTCTCAAGCTGTAGATTGTGCATGCAAGTTGCAAGAGGCTGCATTTTATAAAGTGAACAAACAAGAAGATTCTGTTAACAACCTGAAGGGCAATTGAACATATATAGGAGAGGAAGGAAATGAAAAAATGGGGGCAACAGTAGTAAATGCATGTTGGTCACTTGGTTCTAACCACTAACAAGGGAGTGAAGGAGTAGATAAAAATCAGTTGCAAGAGATGGAAATGCCTAAGAGACTGGAAAGCTGACAAGAGGAGATTGGGGGAAGAGAATTGGAGAATTATGACGGGAACATGATAGGGTACGAGAGAATTTTAGAGCAGAGGTGTCTGAATTTGATGAAACACAGTACACAGACAACACACTACAACAATGACATTGCCGTCCCAGGGATTCGTTACTCCTACAGAGAATATTCTCTCTTCCGAATCTTAAAAACACAACACCATAAAGTCATAACTAACAGTATCCACTTACACCCTAATCCTAAATTAAACGCTACAAAGCATAACTGTCATATACAATAACTTCCATTCACTGCCCACTCACAGTGCTCCTAAATTAAATAGGACCAAGTGTAATCTCTGCCATTCATTAAACGCACCCTCTTCTGGAATAACATTCCAAATAGATCTTTGAGCATTGCTTCCATCATAATTTATTTAGTATTTAGAGGCAAATAAAGTATTTCAACTTTAGACAGCCAACCCCTAAGGTTATAACCAAAATTTTCATTTTCTACTGCCTCCAGATGTACTGAATGCTTGAGTTAAATAGTGTGCATGGTATTATTTAGTCAATAGTAAAAAAGAAGCACTCAGCTTCTTTAAATATGCATAAGGATTTGATTAATGTAACTATGTAAGCCGGATAACATTTCCATGCTTAAAAAAATTTCTAGTATACATAATCTAGCTTTGGCATGTCCCTAAGGTTATAACCAAAGCTACCTGAAAAAAACAGAATTTGATCCCCAACATTAAAGAATTATAAGAGACTAAGTCATTTAATTGAAAAATTTACCGTGCATGGAAACATTCAAATCATATCATAATTCATTAAGCTTGAAATCTGAAATAAATTACCTGAAGATATTGGTGATAAATAGCAAATGGAGCAGAGTGTGCTAAAAGAGGAAGGAGATCTCTGACCAATGTCCACGTATCCAACTCTGGTGCAGCAATAATTAGACTGTACAAATGCAAAATAAAAATGCTCAATTCAATGATTCTTTGAAAAGGGAGGCAACTGTTTAAGCTTAGATACCTAGAAAAACCATTTTCTTTCCACGAGTCAATCATTTCTTTCTGTGCCTTTTCTCCAGCCTTTGGAGCTTTGCGAACTTCTTGTACAGCAGGTTCTGTATTCTCAGCCCCAAGTTCAGAAATTCCATTTTCCGACGACTGAGAGATTTCTTCCATGGTGACTGATGCACTTATTTGATCCTGCACACATCATAACTTCAGATAGTGTGCAAACAAGAAGATAGAATTGATCAAGAGAATAAGGAAGTGCTGCTTACATTTGACTGGATTTCCGCATTGCAGTCATCATCATGTTGCACAATTTGTTCAGGTGATTCTTTTTGTGATAATAAGTCAGAAATGGGAGACCGCAAAATTCTGCAACAAATAAGAGATGGTAACAAGTGACTTGAAGTCATTTTCTTTGGTTCTCAGAAAGTAACATGAAATAAATCCACTCCTATATATTAAACACGAATAACTATCTTGCACGGAGTGTTTCAGGGTTTTTTTTCGATGAGAGAATTTTTAGGGATTTTTTTAAACTATTTATCTAATTTAATTTTATTTATTATATCTATATAAAATAAATTTCAATATTTTTAAAATAAATTATTCAAATTTAAAAATAATATTATGTCACAATATAAAATATTTATCATAAATCTAAAATAAATTCTATATGTTTACAAATATCTATTTATATAAATTTTAAATATAATTTATATATTCAAATATAGTATTTGAAGAAAATCTATTTACTTCAAGAATAAGTCTATCTCGACTTATTCCACTTAATAACTTGTATTATTTATATTAAGTTTCAATGATTTAACCATTGAATTAAAAGTTTTTAATGTATAGATCAAATAAAAAAAAATTTTAAAATTTTGAAAACTATTTGATACTCTATTTCATTAATTAAAATCAATATATAAAATGTTTTTATAATTATCCATGAATTTAAATTAATGAAACAGAGTATCAAATAATTTTCAAATAATTTAAAAATTTGCAAACTTGATCTATACATTAAAAACTTTTAATTTAACAGTTGAATTATTAAAATTTGATATACAACATGAGTTGTTGAGTGAAGTAAGTCTAAGTAAACTTAGACTTAGACTAAGTGAGTCTCTTCTCATAGTATTTATATGTATATATAATTTATTATAAATTTTAGTTATATATAATAAACATTTCACCTATACATTGTACAGGCTAAAAATACCAATTATTAGAATACAAAAGAGAACACAATAGTCTTATCCATATAACATATAACATATAAATTATTACTATTAATAACATATATATTATTACTATTAATTTATCCATCATTATCTCTGAAGAAACTTCCATAAACTTTTCTCTCGTTTCCTGGGTTTCAAAAATTAATGTTATAAGAAAAAATATATATCTAAAACTGCTCAAATCAAAGAAAAACTAATTGTTTTAATATTGTCAAAAAAATATAAAGATCAATACAAATTGTTTTAATCATTTCCTTTCAGTGTAATCAGTACTTCAAGAAGAGTGACAAAAACATTCAGATGATTTTAACAAGAAAAATAGTTTGGTGAATGCAAGTATAAAACACATCAACTGACCTCTTGCAGATTTCTTCACTCAAGTTAAATATTCTAACAATATCCATGGAATATGGTGTCTGCCCAAAATATGAGTTGCAAACGAAACCAGTACCTGTAAAATATTTAACAATGTTCAATACTTCACACCCATGTATAATGATGTACAAGCTGCTTACCTATGAAAAGTGAATATTTTCCTCATATTATAAATGTTGGCTTGTGATTATTCACATGTTATTCCACATTTTATTGTGGGGAAAATAACAATATCTAAATGGCCAACTTAGTTTAATTTATGCCATACCTCCTAAACGTTCTGCCACAGAACCAGTAATAAGGCCACCAACCATATCAACTACTAGAACGTCAGAATTAGAAGAAACATTGGCCATGGAAAGTAGAAGGGACAATGTGTCCACCCGCAAGAATCTGAATAATTAGTAATTAGTTAGAAACAATATCAAGGATATAAGGATTGATTCATCTGGAGAAAATGAACCCATGTATCAATTCTATAAACAGCCAAATATGTATGTATGCATCTATAGCAAACAGGATATGCAAACCCAAAACAAAGAAAAATAAACACAGAAAAATTACATCCAGACATTGATAATAAATCCAGAAGTCCCGCTTCTTGTCATCAAACCCATATTTGAACTGGACCTAGAATAAGATGATGGGGATTAATATTATAGAACATTGTTATCAGACTCAGATTGGATCAGCCTGTTCAACTGTTAAACCAAAAATCGGACCCATGACCAGGCCAGTCACTTAATTCAATTGGATATGTAGTTCACCCATGCTGACATCAGCAACTCGGGCTTGAGCCAATCAGAACTGGTACACGTTTTGTAATTTCCTATGCATACACTGTCCAATGTCTTCCTTTCACGCTTCCCAGTGACTGCTCTTAGTGCTGCTGCTTCCTTACCCCACATGCCCTCCAATAACCACATTTAGCACACAATTTTTCAAGCAATACATGACCTGGGGTTCGAACTCAGGTTCAATGTATAAATAAAAGTGCATCTACCACTTATCCAAGACAATGGTACTATAACAACACATAATTTATACCGATATATTTATTATATAAAATTTTATACTTTTAAAATATACCGATTCATGCAATTCAACTAGTGAAGTGCTAGTGACTCACCGATTCGACCACTAATCCATCAATCCAGTACTACGATCGAGTCGATGACTGGTCTGGTTCTAATAACATTGTTATAGAATAGATTACGTTGACTTAAGGTTTTGGTATGCAAAATCCCACAAAATTAGCAATTGTGCATGCTTGTCTATCTAGTTGAACCTTCAACATAAACAATGTTGAAATTTGGTATTCAATTTCTTTTCTTTTTACTCTTCTTTGATTTAAAACCCATGTATACATTAAAGATATTATAATGCCTGATCTTCAGAATTTACATCATGCTCAAAAGGAATAGCACAAATCTAATAGAAAATAAAAGTAAATGTATAAACATGCAAGGAAAAATTGCATCCATGAGACCAAGATGATACTCACCCAATTTTAGATGGATATTTCTTGAAATAGGCCTCACATATACTGGAGAAAAACAGATAATGACAACCGTAAGTCATAGAGTAGAGACTCAATATCAAAAACTGATAAATTATACATCTAACGATATGTTAGACAAAACATGAGTAGAAAAAACACCTTCAGAGGAAAAATTTATTATATTTTCTTGATACATTCAGGAAAAATTTCTTTCCAGTGCTCAAAGAGCATGATATATCTGCTTAAAATTATTATTTGTTTATATTGTTTGTTGAATGTTGAATTGATATAATTTCCCTGGTCCCACAACAGTCAGTGACAGAAGGCATAACTGCATTATCAATTCCATCAACAGAAACAAAACCCAGAAGCTTGAAATAGGGAAGATCTTTCGAGCACATCTTTTATATTCAAGGCATAGTTATTGGTTACAAAGAGAAAAATGTGAACCATTATCAATATGAGAAAATCTAATGATATAGAGAGCAGAGAAAAATAATCAAGGTTACCTTCGAGAACCAGGACGCCTCATAAGTACTTTTGGAGCATATTTCTTCTGCTTCTTAAGTCTATATTTCTCCTGCCAAAATAGCATAAAATTCAGTTCATTCCTAATACACACACATATAATTTGGTCCGAAAATGATGATTCTATATTTTGGTCTCCAAAAGTTTCCATCTATACAAAGTATCATCCATAGCATCAGCTCAGCAAGTTAGGCAAGTAGTGCCTAATCAAGTGATGAAAGCCCCTAATATGATTGAGGTACGCTTGTCATCTGATGTAAGCATTCTAACGAACAAATAGCATTACACATGTGCATTTAACCTTTTACATCAGCATCTTTGTTAGTGCTCTCGCCAGCACTAAGGGGCCGTTTGATACATGATATTCTTTTCATGTTCAACAATCATAATTTATGGAAATCATAAATCCTAAAAATCATGATTCTTAGAAATGATTAAAATCTGTTTGGTTGACCATAAGTTTTTTTAGAATATTTATAAATCTTACCTAAAAATCAAAGATTTTTACTGCATGAAATAAACAAATAAAGGTAATGTGATATTCTTACCGCATCAAAATTTTCCTGTTAACTTGGAAATGTGAGTTTCCTACCTTCCCCATGGGAAATATTTCATGGAAAACCTCTTTAAAAAAAATTCCCCAGAAACAATTTTTTTAGGAATGTTATTTTTTAAATAACAAACCAAACATGGGAAAGTAACATTCTCCACTTCATATTCCCAAGAAAGTAAACAATTCCCGTATACCGAACGCTCCCTAAGTGAAAAGTGTTAACAAGTTGGTAACTTCAAAGAATACATTGCTTAGACAGAAACACTTTGGAACCAACAATACAAGCAATATTTCAGGTAACCAAATTGTATATTTACTCCAAAGTAAAACAATGTAAGCTTTTCACGCATCAAAATACCTGTGAGAATGATGTTTTCTTTTCAAATGTTGCACTATTTGCAATGAGAGCTTCAATTATTTCATTACCTCTCGCACCCTGCCTGCATGAAAGATGTAGTATATTCGTTCACAACTCACAAAGAAATAACAACTCGACAGTTCATTTCAGAAAACCAAGTCGAATCCATGCAAAACTGCATCTACAATACACCTAAAAAATCTAAGTCACAGAACCAAAACATCCCAAAAGAACATACAAATCTTCCTTCCATTTCATGTAATCCCCAAAAGCTAATACACCAAGAACCAAAATTCAACCAAAGGAAGAAGATGCACTCACCTTCGCATGGTTTCTATATCTTCCCCAGTCAAGCTTTGCGCCGTGTTATTGTCAACCAACGCCCGATTGTCCCTTGACTCAACATTCACTTGACCATCTCTCACTTCGGCATTATTATCATTAACCTTGTCCCTCAAGTCAACATTTACTTGACCATCCCTTACTTCTTCAGCATTATTAACATTCACTAAATTGCAAATAGAGAGCCACAGTACACTTAAGAGCGCCAAAAAAAACTAAATAGCGAAAAGGAAGTATCTCAAATAACCATAAAGAAACAAAAATCAATCAAATACAACCCCCCTCACAAAAGCGGTAACAAAACTAACAGAGGCACTTGAAATTATGAAAACATAATGAAAGTGAATTACATAGCAACAAGAAGTAATGGCTTCTGAAGTTATGTGGCAATGCGACACAATCGTTATGCGAAAAAGTAAATAAATGAGAAAAGGAACACGCGTACCTTGAGTGGGAGATAGATAAGGTCCCTCCGGTGCGGTTTCGACTTGAAAAACTGTACCGAAAGCACGACCGATCAACGGTTGCAGAGAGCAGTTCTTGTTCCCAATCTTCAATTTCCTGCGAACAATTTTATTATTCAGAATTGAATAAATAATAGTAAATAAATAAAAAAGAAAAAGAAAAAGGAAGAAGAGTTACGCAGCGGGAGAGAGACGAGCGAAAACGAGACGGTCACCGTCGTTGATGTCGAGAAGAACGCTGCAACCTTCCCAAGTGACTCTGCTACTTTCACACATCTTAGAAATGAAATTGATATGTGTTGAGAATGAAATTGTATTTGAGAGAGAGAGAGAGAGAGAGAGAGAGAGAGACAGAGAGAGATCGAATGTGTATATTGGTGCTATGCGGTTATAGTGAGTTGGTGCTATGTGGAACAGAAGAGACTACAGAGACATGCGTCACCTCACGAGGCATAAACCCCTGAACCTGAAAGAGACTCCATCATAAACTAAACTCTAAAAACTAGGGTATTAGGATTTAGGATTTATTAACCGTTGCGTTTTATTTTACACATTGGGCTTGGGCTTGGGCTTGGATTTCCCTCCTTATCCTTTGCCAGGGCCTCCACTGTATTTCAGCTCGAATTCTTGTTGGGCCTTCTCTTTGGGTTTTAACTTGCAGCTTCTTTTCATTTTGGCAAATGATAAATACACCTCCACTCTCGTATAAACACACCCCCTTTTTTTTAAAAAAAATATATAAAATGTCTAAATTATCTTTTTTTAAAAAATGAAATTCCTAAATTTACACCTCCCTTCCCCGCACACCCTTTCCCCGCACCCCACACTCCACACCTCTCTTCTTCCCAAAGTCTCTTTCCGCTCAATGTCATTAAGCAATATATTTTTACAGTCATTCTGAATAGAAAAAAAGGACTAGCCCCACCATAACCAGCATAAGAAAGGTTCTTTTACAGTCATTAGCATTCCGGAAAGTACTTTTACAGTCATTAGCATTCCAGAAAGTACTTTCCGGAATAGTAAAATTATTGTTCATATAATTCCGGAAAGAACTTTCCGTAATAGTAACTTTAATATTATGGAAAGTACTTTCCGGAATTATGTAACAAAACATTTCCGGAAAATACTTTCCGGAATAAGAATTTAATATTATGGAAAGTATTTTTCGGAACATTTTTATATAATTCCGGAAAGAACTTTCCGTAACAGTAAGAAGAAGAAGAAGAGGAGTGTCAGAAAGAGAAAGAAGAGGGGCGTGCGAGGTGCGGAAAAAAAAAAAAAGAAGAGGAGGAGAGTGCTAGAAAGAGAAAGAAGAGGGGTGCGCAATGTCAACAGGTGATCTTGTAAGAGAAAGACTCTTACTTGTTCTATGGAAAGACACACTAGTACAAAAATGACTTTTAAAATCGGAGTTTTAAAATCAGTCATAAGGTAGCCATTTTAAAAGTGATGCGGTGGCCTGTACTGCAACAGAACGGCCCCAGAATGTCCCGTTCTGCAAGCAGAACGGCATGTTCTGCTTTAAGTACGGCCCGTACTGCAAGCAAAACGGCCTGTACTACTTGCAGAACGGGTCGTTCTTCTTGCAGAACGGCCCGTTCTGGCGCCGTTCTGGTGCGGGGAAGGGGGGTGCGGGGAAGAGAGGTGTAAATTTAGGAAAAAAAATTTAAAGGGTAATTTAGACATTTTATATATTTTTTTTAAAAAAGGGAGCGTGTTTCTACGAGAGTGGAGGTGTGTTTATCATCTGCCTTTCATTTTTCTGTTCACATTATTTTTTTTTTTTACTGTTATTTCCAAAATATCTCTATTTAATTCTAGAAGTAATTTAGAAATTAATTCTAATAATTTTTTTAATGAAAAATATCTATACTAATATTTAAAGGAGATACTATTTTCAATAATTACTTTTGGTTTCCATTTTTACATGGACCATTTTATCCTTTGTTTATTTTTCAATAACTACCTTTTTTTATAATTAACTTCTCATTCTTTTTCTTATTTATTTATTTTTTTCTTTAAAACAACGCAGGCACAGAGTAGCCGTGAGCAGAAAGTTTCGAACCAACCGAAACCGAAACTTTTTGTGGTCAATTTTTTAGTTGGCCGGCTATTTTCGGATTTTTCGGTTTTGCGGGTTGTTTGCCTCAGTTGATATTGGTTTTGTTGGTCAGGTTCGGGTTAAAATATTTGAACCCGTCGTATCCATACCCGACGGACACTTAACAATTAAAAGGTATGTTATTAGCTAGCACCGCGAGAGTAGAAACTAGAAAGTAGAAACCCTAAGCACCGCGAAACCTTGTGCTCACACCAGTAGAAACTAGAAACCCTACCGCTGCTCGTCTCGTCAGGATCATCCCCCTGCAGCACCCGACCGCCACGTCCTCCTCGACCACGTCGAGTGAAGCCTTCGCGCGCTGGACCGTGAAGCTCCGGCAAATGACGTCACTCGAATGAACCCTAGCACAGACGAAGGGAAGAGAATGACCAACTTCCATTGTCAATCCCCAAATGGCTTGAAGCATCTGGTATTGGTTCATCTACCTTGATCTGCCTTCCGAGTTACATGGAAGACTGCCCCTTTCAAACTTCTTAGCTCAGAAAGATTGGAAGATGAAAGCTATCTCATTCAACATCGGACTTGTTGCTATATTGATTCCCACTTGTTGAAGCTCTATCTGGTACTCCCTTGCGCTAGAAGCAACTTATATTCTTTGTTGTCCTATGTATGTTTTTTGGAGATTATTCCGCTCATGCTAAGAAGTTTCTTGACTCTCGCTCTCACTGATGATTTTGAGCCTGCTCGAGCCTATTTACTCCATCGCAGCCCCTTGCCTACACTGTATAGTGCTGTTGCAGAACTAATCTCTTCAGAGACTTAACTTGGAACTATGAAATGACAATGAACTTCATTAGTGAGGGCTACTTCTTCTATACCTTATTCTGGCTCATCGAATTCCTGTTACTGAAAGAAGCCTGGGAATGGAATTCGAGACTGTCTCACTCGGCATCCTCGCAAGAACACACCTAAAGGTAGTCAAACCCAGTCTCAACCTCAAACTCATTCCAAGGCTGCTGCTACTAATGAGGATTCTTCTTCTTCTGCGCCTTCCTTTGAGTTAGTTAAAAGCCCTTCTCGTCATAAGCTGCTCCTTCTCTAAGACATTTTGCATTTGTCCATCTCTAGCCTTTGAAAGCTGTCCTAATCCTCTTGTCAAGCTGGGCCAGGCTAGCTCTCTTATTCTGGATTGGCTATTATTAGAATACCGGTACAAGCCGTTAGGAGAGGCAGATCAGTAAAAGTCTCTTGCTATAAAGTCACTGCTACCTGATTCAGTCTATCCCGGCAGTGCCAGAATGATTGGGAGTCTAGGCTAGCCAGTGCATCAAACTTTTGACTGAAAGAACGACTTTTCCAGCTAGATCGGACTAATTGTTTTTATTACCGGAGGCATAATGATAGCACTCAGCGGTTCGGGAACTCTGCCTATCTCAATCCCGGGATGAGAGAAGTTCAACAGGCAAGGCCGGCTTTGCTTCATATGTAGCGGATCGGTATTCTGCTATTCTCTCTCGCTTGATACCGGACATAGAACCCTATCTCGATCAACCCAACTGTCTAACCTTTCTTTCACATCACAGCTATCCACTCTCCTTTCTTTTTTTGAAAGTCAATCTTTTTTCGACGCTGGGCTTTAGTCATCCTAGTTCTACACAGGAAGGGAAGAGAATGACCAACTTCCATTGTCAATCCCCAAATGGCTTGAAGCATCTGGTATTGGTTCATCTACCTTGATCTGCCTTCCGAGTTACATGGAAGACTGCCCCTTTCAAACTTCTTAGCTCAGAAAGATTGGAAGATGAAAGCTATCTCATTCAACATCGGACTTGTTGCTATATTGATTCCCACTTGTTGAAGCTCTATCTGGTACTCCCTTGCGCTAGAAGAGGGAACTGTTTCACTTGCGTGGACGACAAGGTTCATCGCCGCAGCCAAAATGAGCACACCTATGCTTGCCACTATGAGCTTCGTACTCCTCATTGCGACACTGTCGGATCCACCGCAGTCATCATTGTCATCACGCAAGACAAAATCGTTGTCTCCAACTGCGGCGACTCCTGCACTGTCCTCTCCCGCAGTGGCTTCGCCATCCCTCTCTACTCCATTGTTGTTATCTTTTTGTATTGATTAGATTTTGAAAAAAAATAACAAATAAAAATATTGGGCCCAATATGGCCCAATCCGACTAAACCGACCCAGTTAATCTGAGACCCGACAAACCCGAACCCGATAAACCCGAAACACTGTTACGGTCGAAAATGGGTTAATTTTTTTTTTGGGTCAGTTTGGATTGGGCTAAATATTTTTTACCCGAACCCGCCCTGTGCTCAGACCTAGCACAAAGTGCCTTTTTCTTGCTAGTTACAATAATTGGGATGAGGATTGATTAATTAAACATTAACTCCCTCATCTATCTACCTCAACTCTACACATAAGTTAACTCTAGTCGTTCAAGTTCAATTCAAACAATTTATTTTAAAAATTATTAAATTTATTTTCATATATTTTATTTCAAAATGTATTAAATATTTAAAATACCTTTCAAAATATGTACCTTTATCTGTATATATCTATACATTTACATATTATACCCCTTATTTTTAAGAAAAGAATATATAAAATAATCACTTATGTACCAAACTGACCTCTGGAATCGAGTTTATGATATGATCGAGTCTGGTTGACAACTCAACTTTTAAAGTGAGGACAGAGGACGCCGAGGTGATCTCGAAATGGGAATATCGGATTGAACCTATGACATTGATGATTTTCAAATCGAACATATCCCTAGAACACAAAATGTTAGAGCTAATCTACTATCCAAACTTGCTAGTACTAAGCGTCCTGGTCAGCATAAAACTATCATTCAGGAAATAATTACCACGCATAGCTACAATTCCATAACAGTTCTGGCCAACAATCTTGGTCACCAAAGTTGGATGTCGAGTATTTGAAAGTACCTTAAGGATGGAATTTTACTAGAAGACAAGGCCGAAGCTTCTAAGATCAGAGCTAAATCTTGTCATTTCATAATTGAAGCTGATGAGTTATTCAAAAGAGGCTTCTCAGTTCCTCTTCTTAAGTGTTTAGATACAGATCAAGCCAAGTATGTGATGGACGAGATCCATCGTGGTATATGTGGTATGCTTTCTAGGGCTCGATCTATGGTTGTAAGGGTACTCCGAGCTAGATATTATTGGCCAACTATGAGATCAGACTGTAAGATGTATGTACAAAAATGTAAAGCTTGTCAAGAGTTCGACAACCTACATCAATTACCTTCAACAGTCTTGCATTCCATGCAATTAGCATGGCCTTTTGCATGGTGGCGAATGGACATACTTGGTCCTTTCCCAATAGCCAAAGGTTAACTAAAATTCTTACTCGTAGGAATTGATTATTTCACGAAATGGATTGAAGTAG